CCCCGAAACAGTTCGGAGCTGCCACCGCACTTTTCGGCACACACCCGTTCCGAGCCTGTTTCCCCCAGGTCCTCGCCTGGTTTGACTTTGCCTAAATAATCTCATTTTAACATTTATTGGGCGTTTCATTAGCGTACTTCAGCTTTTTAGCTTTAGTGAAATCCTCAAGCTTATAACGAATCACATACTTAGTGTTCGGCCACCATTTGGCCTAACTTGGCCGCTGGCTAGGCTGAAGGAACCGCGTTGAGGAAGCGGGATCTGAGAGGGCAACAGTGGCTCGATAGCGATCGCGTCAAAGCGATAGATAGGGCGACGAACGAGCGACAGACAGATCAACAGTAGACGACAAAAGCGATAGAAAGCGACTTGCGATGGCGGAGAGGCGCGGCAGCAGAGGCGCGAGGAGCAGCGGCAATGGCGGGTGCCGCAAGCACGCGCGCGCAGGAGGGGACCCGAGCGGCGGCAACGGCGGCGTCCGCCGCCGCAACGGCGGAAACAGCAGCGTAGGCGGCGAAGAAGCCCGCGCCAGTCGCGCTCCGCGTGGATAATTTCCTCGCCGCGGCCACCGCCGCAGCCCCTGTCACCAGCGGCACTGCTTCCGCCGCCACCCCTGTTGTTTGCGCGCCTGAACCGCTGCCTCCGCAAGAGTCCGCGGAAATGGGCTTGCGTGTCAGTGGGAGGGGGAGCGCATATAGGGTTAGCAGCGACGGGCGGCCACGCGGAAGAGGAAGGGGAGGCGGAGCATGGCGGGAGGCGCAAGGAGGGGAGGAGGATTGAGGAATGCGGGCGAGTGTGGTTTGTGTTTGGCGGAGGCTAGGCAAGGGGCGGGAGAATGGGGAGCACGAGGAGGAGCAGGCGGGCGGAGGAGGGGAGAGGGGCAGGCGGAAGGGTGTGGAAGGGCGGGAGAGAAGGAAGGGGGAGAGCGCGCGTAGGGAGCTCGAGGAGAGGCGGGAGAGAGGGGGCAAGGGAGTGCGGGTGGGGGGCCGGGCAGAGGGGCGCGAGTGGGGGAATGGGGGAGAGCGCGGAGGGAAACGCGGGGGAGCCGTGGAGGGGGGCGCGGAGGGGAGCTGGGGGGAGAGAGGCAGGTGCGGGTGAACCGTGCAACGTGGGAGAGTATGGTCTGAGGCGGGGTAAGGAGAGCAGTAGTGAGTGAACCGCTTGAAACGCATGGTGGTGGCGTGGCGAGACAGACGCGGCGGGAGGGGGAGAATGAGGATGGAGAGAAGGGGAATGGGAAGGGAGCCGGGGGGAGGGGTTGAGGGAACGGGAAAGGGTGGGAGAAGCAGAAGCACGTGTGGATTATGGGGGTGGATCATGGGGGTGGAGGGACTTATGGCGATAGTGAGATGAAGAGCAAGGGAAGGAGGAAGCGGAGTGCATTGGAGAGGTGAGGGAAATAGGGACAGAGAGTGAACGTGAGACAGGTGGATGGGAAACGTGTGGGTAGGCGAAGGCGAGTGAGGAGAAAGGAAGGAGAGAAGGGGCAAGCAAATGGGCAAGGAGGTGGGGAGAAGGCATGGGAGCTGAGGGAAGGAGAGGTGGAACGAGGGAAGGAGAAGGGGTGGGGGGAGAAGTAAGGGGAGGTGAAGGGAGGGGAGGAGAAGGATAGGGAGGTGAAGGGAGAGGAAGAGAAGAGAAGGCAAGAAGGCAGCACGGTGGAAACACAAGCTCAGCCGACCACCAGGTGAAGCATGCAGCAGGTGAGGCGGTGATTTGATCACTCACCATTGAACACCACCATCAAGGTATGGCGATGCGTGCCATACGCTACGCGTTGCCTTGGCAATCGCATGGTCACAGCCTTGCCCTCGCTGGCAATCGCATGGTCACAGCCTTGCCCTCGCTGGCAATCGCATGGTCACAGCCTTGCCCTCGCTGGCAATCGCATGGTCACAGCCTTGCCCTCGCTGGCAATCGCATGGTCACAGCCTTGCCCTCACTGGCAATCGCATGGTCACAGCCTTGCCCTCGCTGGCAATCGCATGGTCACAGCCTTGCCCTCGCTGGCGCGCCTGAAGATGCGCCTTGCTGCTCGCATATTTACAGAGTTGCGCCGAAGCTCTAGCTGCCCACCGCTCCTGTTGCTGGACCCTCTCCTCCCTCACACCCCCTTCTCCTTCCTCCCACGCACCATCCTCCTCGCCTTTGCCCTCCACCCAGGTACGCCCAGCAGGTGGGCATCCCAGAGAGCTCAGCACTGTCGTGGCTGCACGGCTGGCTCAACCCTCTTTCCTCCCTCCTCTCACTGCTCTCTGTCCTTCACTCTCTTCCCCCTTTGGCCCTCTCCCCCCATCACCTTCCCCGCAGGTGGTCACGACTCGCTCCCGAGGTCAATGCACTGGTGGCTGCTCTGCTGAGCCATTCCACCTTCCTCCCAACCTTGGGCCCCCCTCCCCTTCCACCTATGCCCCTGCCCCTTTTTCCCAGGTATGCCCACACCAGGAGGTCACCCCTGGAGCTGAAACCGCTCGTGGCGGCACTGCCAGTCCACACATACCCCATGGACTCCCCTTCGCCCACCCGTCACTCCCTCCCCTGCTTGCCCCCTCCACCCATCCACTCCTCCCTCGGTCCCCCTCACACTTTGGTCCGCCCCCACCAGGTGGTCACTCCCGACCCCAACGCATTGCTGGCAAAGCTGCTGGCGAAGCTGCTGCGATTGCAAGTCAGACCCAATCAAGGTGAGGCTGGGGGAGGGTGGCTTGAGAGGGGGAAATGGCTATGGGGGGAAGTTAAATGCCGCCAATTAGATGCCACCTATTAGGTGTTCGTAGCTTTGTCAATTGAATCTGGTGAGGACAGGACAGGGTTAGCATTGGTATGGTCGTTTGGTTGTGGTTTGTGGAAGTAGCACTGTCGGTATTAGACGTACTCCTAGTAGTCCTGCTGCGATTCGAGTCCAAGAACTTCCTAACAGTAAGAATTGGTATGGGGAAAGGGAGCGGCAGAGGGGAAATGCCGGTGCATGGGGAAAGGGACCAGCGTGACTGTGACACACAGGCAGGGAGGAGGGTGAACCAGACGGCATTTTGGGTCATGTCATGCGGGTTGTGAGAATGTTCAGAAACCACTTTTGGGATGGCTTTGGGGGGGCTGGGGGGAAACCAGTGGTTGCTTTAGCCACTTGATGTTGGCATGTTGACATGCAGTTGGAACTGATGTGATGTGAACTCACTCCCGTTGCTGCCACGCTGCCACTACCGTCTCACTCCCACCACCACCTCCGCCATGGAGGATAAAGAGTCTGTAGGGGCAGCAGGAGGTCCAGTCAACAACCGCCCTCTTGCTCCGTCACCCCCACCACATCTTACTCCCACCACCATCTTTGCAATGCAGGAGCAAAAATTAGTTGCAGTGTAGATTAACTAGTTGCACTGCACTAGCTAGGTTTGTACGTGCTGCAGTGCGTGAATGCTTACCTGCAATGGTTGAACTTGGAACAGGCTTGTGGAATTGTGTGGAAATCGATCGGGGCTGTATTCCAATGTTTAACCTCAAGAACTATGTTCATTTCGTCAAATGTTATAGAGATTTTGTTTTCTCGCTGTAGGCATGCTTCAGCTTATTAGATTTCTTGTGCTCTGAGGAGTTCGGGTTAGTAGGTTCGGCCTACAAATTCGCGCCGAACCACTTGCGATCGCCACCGCACCTTTCGCCAACCTTCCGATCCTCCATTATCCCGAAGACCTCGCCTAATTCTACTCCGCCTATATCGCCCTCGTTTTAGACATTCATAGAACATTTCAGTTCTGTAGTGTTCTAGTTTGTAAGAACTGCGCGCTGCGTCACGCCAACATTTGGCAAAAATACGCGTTCGGCTGATTATGGTGCACAGAGGATCAATGAGAGCTGGGCAACAATCAGATCGTGGCTCGATAGCGGTCGCGTCGAAGCCATAGACAGGGCGACGAGAGCGAGAAGAGCCGGTTCGCGATGGCGGAGAGGTGCGACAGTAGAGGTGCGACAGTAGAGGCGCAAGGAGCTGCAGCAATGGGGGTGCGCAAACGGGAGGCGCAAGCTTGACATTCGTTTGGAGACGTTTTAATACAGTGGCGATTCTACATTGGCAGTAATAAGACGTTTGGAGCATCAAGTAGTGGCGCAAACGCGAGTACTGCGTCAGAGCGTCAGACCGGCAACGGCATACTGCGACGTACGGCGATGAGAGAGAGACGGACTGCGACAGAGAGCGACCGACTACGATGAGATAGCGACAGACCGCAACGAGAGAGCGACCGTCGACGGCGGGAAGACGGCACTAGACGACGATAAAGCGACAAAAACCTTTCCGCGATGGCGGAGATCTGCGGCAGCAGAAGCGGCAATGGCGGATGGGGCAAGCACGTGTTGCGGAAGCGGGCGAGACAGTGGCGGCAGCGGCGGAGGCAGCAAAGGCGTTGCGAGGAAGGTGCCTGTACCCTAGGCGAGCGGCACAGGGCAGGAAATGCGTAGCGGGAGAGAGGGACAATTGGCTAATTGTGTGGCGGCGGCGCCCAATACGGATGGAAGAGGTTCCTGGGACAGGTGAGGAGGGGAGAGAGGGTAGGGTAGTGATGGTAAGGGGTGTGATGGTGGTAAGTTGTGCCCGAATGCATGGTGAGGTGAGCAGCGACAGAGGCAAAAGAAGCAGCAGAGGGCAGGCGGTGCGCAGCGGAAGGACAAGTGTGTGGTGCTGGCATGGAGTGTGGAGGAAGAATCTGGAAAAAGGTGAGAGGGGGAGAGGCGTGAGGGGAGGTGGGAGAAGGGCTAAGTGTTGTCATGGTGGTTCAGGCTGTGCACAGGTGTGTGGTGCTTGCCTTGCACCTGAAGTGGAGGAGGTGCCTGAGATGGGCGAGTGTTTGTGAGAGGGAGGGGGTGGGGGCGGTGGGTGGAAGGTGGGAGGAACGGGGCAGGAGAGGAGGGCGTGGGGGTGCTAATGCGAGAGATTTGTTTCAATTTGCGTCATCACTTGGGCATGCCGTTTTTTACAAGTCGCTGAACATGCTCTCCCCACCCAAATGCAGCATTCAACGTTCAAATTCAAACCACCCCTAGGCCCCACCCTACCCCGCCCCCCGCGCTGTCCCTCAGGAGGTCTTGACACTCCACTCTCGTCCATCCCATCAGATGTCATTGGTTGCATCTTTCCCTCCCCTGGTCGCATCTTTCCCTCCCCTGGTCGCATCTTTCCCTCCCCTGGTCGCATCTTTCCCTCCCCTGGTCGCATCTTTCCCTCCTCTGGTCGCATCTTTCCCTCCCCTGGTCGCATCTTTCCCTCCCCTGGTCGCATCTTTCCCTCCCCTGGTCGCATCTTTCCCTCCCCTGGTCGCATCTTTCCCTCCCCTGGTCGCATCTTTCCCTCCCCTGGTCGCATCTTTCCCTCCCCTGGTCGCATCTTTCCCTCCCCTGGTCGCATCTTTCCCTCCCCTGGTCGCATCTTTCCCTCCCCTTGTCGCATCTTTCCCTCCCCTGGTCGCATCTTTCCCTCCCCTGGTCGCATCTTTCCCTCCCCTGGTCGCATCTTTCCCTCCCCTGGTCGCATCTTTCCCTCCCCCGGTCGCATCTTTCCCTCCCCTTGTCGCATCTTTCCCTCCCCTGGTCGCATCTTTCCCTCCCCTGGTCGCATCTTTCCCTCCCCTGGTCGCATCTTTCCCTCCCCTGGTCGCATCTTTCCCTCCCCTGGTCGCATCTTTCCCTCCCCTGGTCGCATCTTTCCCTCCCCTGGTCGCATCTTTCCCTCCCCCGGTCGCATCTTTCCCTCCCCTTGTCGCATCTTTCCCTCCCCTGGTCGCATCTTTCCCTCCCCTGGTCGCATCTTTCCCTCCCCTGGTCGCATCTTTCCCTCCCCTGGTCGCATCTTTCCCTCCCCTGGTCGCATCTTTCGCTCCCCTGGTCGCATCTTTCCCTCCCCTGGTCGCATCTTTCCCTCCCCTTGTCGCATCTTTCCCTCCCCTGGTCGCATCTTTCCCTCCCCTTGTCGCATCTTTCCCTCCCCTTGTCGTGGCTTTCTCCCGATGCCGCCTCGCCAAGGGGCAAGGAGAGGTGGTGATGAGGGAGGGGTGTCTGTGCGCAGCTTTCCTGTGGTTGTGGCTCTCTTCTGACGCCAATCATTGGGAAAAGAATGCATGCTGCTGGGCTGGTTAGGCAGGGATGGTTAGGCAGGGATGGTTAGGGTGGTTAGGGTGGTTAGACTGGTTACGCCACTTGCTCACCCCACTTGCTCACCTCAATGAGGCGCAAGTGGCCAGGCGTAAGGGGGTTGGGGAGGAGGAGGAGGAGCAGACAACTCTGGACCCTGTGCCCACGCACCTGTTCCCATCCCGCAACCCCAGCCACTTCCCAGCCGCCCTCACCTCAGTCAGCCACGGAGGTGGGTGGGACGGCACCCGGATCATGCGGTGTGGTTTTTTGAGAATGTTCAGAGAACACTCACCTTGATGTGGGTTGCGGGCGGGGCTGGGGGGGGATGGGCGGTCGCTTTGGAAGGTACCTTGATGTTGGGATTTGGGGTGTGGGGGAAGTGAAGGGAACAGACAAGGCCTACACCCTGCTGTTGGGATGCATCATCAGTCCCACCAGCTAGCACTGCTGCTGTGTAGTACTCACTGCCATTTCTGTCACGCTCCCGCCACCGTCTCACTCCCACTGCCATCTTCACTCTCTGCAGAATTCGAAGCCGGGTGTGGAGGCAAGAGGTCCATGCAGGCCAGGCTGCAGGCAAGACTCGTTGCAGGGGGTTTGACCCAATCATCCTCCTGACACGACGCCTCCCATCACCCTCTCACTCCCACCCACAGGCCCTCAGATTCGTTTGGGGGTACACTGAGGCCTCAGGGCAGTTTTTAGGAAATCAGAATTTGCCCTGAATTGTCAGGGCTGCACAGGGTGAGGTATCCTGAAATTCAGTGCTACATTTGATAGTATCCTGGCATCTCAGCGTTAAGCACTTGTATTTTGGTTCTTCATTTCATTTTACAGGAAGTGTGGTAGCGGGTAAGATACCAGTCTCATATACGATAAGTCGACCGCTCGATTCCCGCCAGCTTCAGCGTATGAATTGTTCGCCAGTGTAATTTTAGGGCCCGAAACCCAGGAGATTTTTCGTACTGTACATCTCGCTTCAGGGCGAGATTCGACACTATCCTGAGTCGTCAGGGCTGAACCTACAGCGTTATCCTGAGTTTCCAGTACGCAAAATAACCATTATACTGATTTTACAGGACAAGTAAATCCCTTACACTGTTTTTTCAGGAGAAGCACACGACACCTATCATGAATTCAGGAGAATCAGGATAAATTATCCTGAAAATATAGGCCTTCCACCCACCACCACTGCCACCATGCAGGAATGGAAGTATGGTGGGGCAGCAAGAGGTCAAGAGCCATGTTGCAACAACTTGCTACAGTCAAATGTGAATCATATAAGGGAGAATTACCAGCCGTGCAATAGTGGCCGTTTGGGTTTTGTTGTGTGTCGCTTTATATTTACAGGTATAAAATGTAAGAAACATGGTGTGCGTGATTGCACTGGACTACCTAGGGTGGTATGTGTTAGGAATAGTGAAATGACATAGTACACTCCTAACTAACCGCAGCAAGTGAAGCACACAGTATCGAGGCTGAATGTGAAGAGTCAGAAATAACTCAAAGCGTCGCAGATGGTTGGAGTGCATCTGGACCGTCGGAGCAGACGGCATCGGGCAGCTGCAGGAACAGTTTCGTAACTGTTCGAGCCTCACGGTTGGGTTTGAATTTGAAAAAGGGAATGCACCCCTTAGAGTACATGGCTAGCTAGGTCGTTTCGTATTCCTCTGTACTACTATTTATATGCCTATGTTTGCATGTTTCTACTATTCCTCTGCGACTGGGCTACCGGAGCAACTCCCCGGACTACAGGTGCTGCTGGCGACACGACGGCAACCTCAGTTCAACCTCCCCAAACAGTCCCACTCCCCCTGACACACACCCCCTGCTTCACCCCTAGCTCCACTCCCCCTTCACCCCCCTTAGTACCACTCCGACGGCTCCAACAGGTCCACCCCCCTCAGCGGCAGCTGCAGCACTGGGAGACGGATAGGAGGAGGAGCAGGGGACGGCACACAGAAGCTGCACCCCCAGACCCCCCACCCCCAAACCCTAATTCAGGAGAACGGGCAGCAGCAGGGGTGGGGTGCCATCAGAAGCACGGGGGACAGCGGGCAGCGCAGGGGCAGCGAAGAACGGGCCGCCCACGGGCCTGGCACAGCCGCCCGAACCGCGCGCAGGCGGCCCGAGCCGCGCGCGGGCCTGGCGCAGCCCGTACGGGCCGCGCGCGGGCCTGGCGCAGCCCGTACGGGCCGCGCGCAGGCTGTACGAGCCGCGCGCAGGCCACGACGGGCGACGGGGGGCGACGCGCGGGTCCCCGTCGCCCGTCGCAGCGCCTCCCGGGAGCGACGCGCGGAGTGACGGGGCAGAAACCCGCCGCGCGCCTCGGGGCGCACGGCGGGCAGACAACCGCCGCGCGCCTCGGGGCGCACGGCGAGCAGAAAACCGCCGCGCACCTCGGGGCGCACGGCGGGCAGAAAACCGCCGCACGCTCCGAGCGCGCGGCGGGATGAAAAAACCCGTCGCACGCCACGGGGCGTGCGACACAGAGAGTAGCAGTAGCAGCGGAAGCAGTGAGGTGGTGAGCCCACCCACAGGATCGACCCAAGGGGATCGACCTGCTCTGATACCATGTCAGAATCGTAGGTAGAGTTAGGAGCCATAGCTAGGTAAGTCCTAGCTAGGCAAGAGAAGTTTAGGCAAAAGAAGAAGAGGGGGTTCACTAGAAAGCAGCAGGATACATATAGGAAACCCTAAGGGGTTGTACTCGCTATAGAGTACCCCACTGCAGGCTAGAGAACAATGACATTCTGACATGCCTGTGGCAATTTCGCCAGGCGGGCCAGGGAAGACTTCGCCAGGCACGTTAGCGACGATTGCTCTTGACGCGTTAGTGGTGAATTCACTAGAAAAACACAGATTTGAGTAAAATTTCATAGGGTGCGCTTATACGAAGATGATCCAAATTTAGGGTGGGGTTATAATCGGCACCCGGCTATAAGCCCACTGGTACGATTATAAGCCCATGGGTGTAACATAGGCCTGGGGGTATATCCGGGGCATGACGGTACATTCACTATGTTGTGAGGTCAAGGGCCCACCACTACCAATCAATTGTGTGCGAACCTTCCTAGGGTCGATCAACATCTGATCATAACATGGTATGAGAGCGACTTCGGAATCCTTCGCACTGCCACCTCTGAAACATTCGGCGAACAGAAAGTGGCGTCCGGCACACGCTCACGCGTAAGGATGGCAGGAGGATCTGGTGGCCAGACGAATCTGACGGTTGAAGTGCAGCCCAATCCGGCTGCAAAAGCGAGGAAACGACGACGATTGGAACCGCCGTTCTCGCACAACTGCTTCAGCGACTCACCAGCTTGGAGCAAGGACTCCAAACATTGCGGAATGGCGACGCGGGAACATCTTCCCAACCCACTCAACCGGCCTCGAATGGCCAGAATTCCGCCCCGCACACCTTCTTTCTCGACACGGATGGCTCAACACCCAAGACTCCCCGTCACAGCGAAGAAGCAATTCTCTCTGCTCAATCAAGGTTTCTCAGCATATAAAAAATAAAGACAAGTGTGTGTGTTGACGGCAGAAACTTCGATACGTGGAGCTCTGAGCTGGAGCTGCTACTTCAAAACGCACAAATATTCCACTATTTTGACGGGAGCTACGCGGGACCTGCTGAAGATACAGCCGACGCCAGGGCGCAATACTACAACGAATCGTTGATGGCGTACGTCGTTCTGCTGCGAAACATGTCGCCGGCGGAGCAATTGAGCATTCGCTCGTACAAGACAACGCCCGCTCCAGCCCTTGATGCCTATCGGCACTACCAATCGAAGGATTCGTTTTCCTCGAGCCGCCTGCTCCAGCAGCTACTAGAGACAAAAATGGCCCAAGGGGAGAAGGCCAACAGCTACATTAACCGTTGTCGGAGCTTACGCGATTAAATCGCGAAAGTGGGGAGCACGATCTCAGAGGTGATTTTTGTGAACATTGTGCTCCAAGGGCTCGGCCCAGAGTGGCGGCCCTGTAAGGTGCTTCTCCGACAGCAGGGGTTTATCTCGGAGGCCGCCCTATGCGCCGCCCTTCTCGTCGAACAGAGAGATATGGATCAGCAGCGACCAGCGTCGCGACGAGACCGGGAACGCCTCGCCTTCTACGCGGACAACACATTAGATCGACAGCCGCGACCCCTTTACTTCAAAATCTGCAAAACTTTTGGGCACTTGGCAGATTGATGCAAATTCCGATCTCGCCCTCGCTAGACCAATCCGAGCACCTGGTCCGGCCGTCAAGACCCACGAAACGACACGCGTCAAGCCCAGGGGTACCAACCCCCATCACGCAACCTGATCACAACTGTTCAGCATCAGCAGCAGCAGTCGTCACAGCCTGCCCCCGTCCGTAACGTCATGGGTAACATGACCATGCCTAGCGGATCTTGCCGTCGCCGCGTGCGCACGCAGCCACCAGAGCCAGCGCGCCACCCAATCGGAGCGTTCACGGATAACAATCCATTCACCCCCCGCCATGATTTCAGCGACGACGATAACCAGGGTTGGAACCTTCCAGTCCCGCTGCTTGAAAGCCCCCCGCACGTACCTGACTCGCGGGCGGCACCGATCGTTTGGATCTCGCGCGAGCAATTTTTGAAGTTTGACACTCCGCATATCGTCACATCGCGATTGGCGCTACTCGCACGTGACGACAACAAGTGCTACAACACCTGGTACCTAGAGAGCTGCTGCGGCCAGCACATGGTGGGCTCCGAGCGTTTTGTCTCCAACGCCGTCCCAACTCCCACAATCACTTACGTCACCGTGGCAAACAACACTTGCCTGCGCGCAAGCGCGCAAGGAATCGTCGTGCTCAATGCACGTGGAAGCCGCACGCACATCTTGCTGAGCGATGTGCTCATCGTCCAGAACCTGCGCTTTAACCTGCTTTCCGCCGATGAACTCATGGATTGCGGCGTCGAACCAAGCACGGAGCCTCGCACACAAGAAATCCTGCTGCACTACTCGTCGGCGACAATGATACGCAGGCAGATCGGACGGGCACACTCAAAAATGGGGTGTACATCCTTGATTTCGACATTCCCGACTGCAGCGGCGACTCGAACGAGCTGATCGGCCTCGTTCCACTGCGATTCAAACACATTTATCGCTCGGACTGGAAGCACCATTACGACAGGCCGTGGGTGCCGCATCACCCCCACCCACGCGAACTAGCGTTGCATGACCCTAACCCAGAAGGCATCTGCAGAAATTGTCACACACCCACCACCTCAACGAGCGCCATCGCCAGCCGTGGTCTCGCCGCCATCGCCGAAGCTGAAC